AGAGAGAGAGAGAGAGAGAGAGAGAGAGAGAGAGAGAGAGAGAGAGAGAGAAAGAGAGAGGGGCCTTGCAGGTAATGGTCATGACTCCTCGCTACTCGTCAAGTTTACAGTAAAAGGGAAGTGGTGGGCTTCCCTGGTGGTGCAGTGGTTGAGAGTCTGCCTGCCGATGCAGGGGACACGGGTTCGTGCCCCGGTCCAGGAAGATCCCACATGTCATGGAACGGCTGGGCCCGTGAGCCATGGCCACTGAGCCTGCGCATCCGGAGCCTGTGCTCCGCAACTGCAGAGGCCACAACGGCGAGAGGCCCACATACCGCAAAAAAAAAAAAAAAAAAAAAAAAGGAAATGGTGCCAGATGCACACAGAACCCACATGCGCACATTCCTTCAAAACCCGCACAGGCAGAACCCTGGCAAGGCAGAGCCATGACTTTGTACCCCGGTGCCTGGCACGATGCTGCAGGCCACAGCACTCAGCAGTAAGTATTTATTCAAAGAATGACTGAATGTCATATATATACAGTGAAACGGACTCTCCTGTCCCCAGGGCAGTGTCACTGTGAAAGCTACTACAGCGATGGCAGGGGTTGTGTGGGGAGGGAGGGCCCAGGCTGTATGTCCAGAGTGTTTCCCGCTCTGGGGTGGGTCTGTCTAGCAACAGCCTGAAGCCTGTGCGTAAGCCCAGCTGGAGAGCCCGGGCCCAGCCGGACCTGAAGCCCCCTGGCCTGTGGGGCAGGGCGCGCTGCTGCTTGGGGCACATGCACCTTCCTTGCCACGGCTCGAGCACATGCGGCACGGAGGTGCTCAGCTGACCCTCCCAACGAATCCTTCCCTGGCTCAGGGGAGGGGGGAGGACGTGTGCAAAGCCCCTGCGCCTTGGGCCTGGGGCTGCAGCCGGGCAGGGCAGTGAGGGCCGCCGAGTGGCCTGAGCGGCAGGGCGGGAGGAACCAGCCCGGGGTCCGCTTCGCCAGCCCCACCTCTTCCTTCCGTGCACCCCGCACCCTGCCGCTCCAGCAGCTCGGCGGCGTCTGACACTGTGCGCGCAGCAGAGCTCGGCCACCTCTGCAGGGCAGAGCCGGGGAGCAGGCAGCAAGGCAGGCTGACGGCCGGGCTCCTGATGCCGTGGCAGGCCTCTGAAGGTGTCCTCAGGACAGAGCCGCAGCGGAGTCTGGGGGGTCTTTCTGGGACGTCACACGGCGCGCTCTCGAGAGCCATAGCAGCGACCTCTGTGCCCAGCATTCTGGTGAAGCCTCTGGCTGACACTGTAAGGGCCTGAGCCCTGATCGGTGTTTACGGCTGTTGTTTAACCCTAGGGGCCGGAGCGGGCAGGAAGAACATGCAGCGGACAGCGCCAGCTAGCCCCGTGCCCCAGCAAGGAAGAGAGCAGCGCAGCCCAGCCTAAGCTGCAGCATCTCGTGAGGCGCAGTGAAAAGGGTAAGTGGGCAAGTTCACCGGTTACCAAATCCTCCCTCGGCCTCCAGGGCCGGCCCAGGGCTCACCTGGATGATGAAGCCGGTGGAAGAGCACTGCCGGACCCAGAGGCTGAATTTCCGCTTTTTCCTCTTCCGCAGCTCCCGCTCTGTGCACGTGGCAATGAACACAGGGTCCTCATCAATCAGGGGTTCGTGTAGCACCTGCCGGGAAAGAAAAAGCAGAGATTCTCATGGAAGGCAGCAGGAGCGCAGGGTGGGTCTTCAGGTCTGGGCTCAAATCTAGTCTCTGCCTTTGACCAGCTGTGTGACCTTGGCTAAGTTACTTTACCTCTCTGATCCTGAGTCCCCTTGAGTCTCCTCGAATCTCCTCATTTGTCTATACCAGTGTTTGGGGGAGGATTAAGTGAGAAACTGGCACTTAGCAGGTATTTAGTACATGGAAATCATCATGACAGTTATTATTATTGGCCCAAGGTCCTCAGTCCAAACTCTCACTTGGGAGAGGGACCTCCAGCAGGGGTCCTGACTTCCAGCTGGACATGCCTGGTGGGGACACCCACTTCCTTTCAAGGAAGACCTTTCCACTGATGGACGCTCCAACCGTTCACTGACGCAAAGGTGACCTACATCTAACCTAAACCTACTGACCCAACTTCACACGATTCTTTAGGATTCTTACGTTTTCCAGACAGCTCTCATGCTGGCCCATGACCTTCTTTTTCCCAGGCTAAACATTCTCTTTTTAAAAGCTCTTTCTGAAATGACCCAGTTCCCTCATTGCCACAACCGAGCCTCTGGCTCCCCTCTGGGTCATCGCGTCCTTTCTGACGTGGGACTCCCCAGGCAATTTTTAAACTTCCTTCACCTACTTCCACTTCTAGATGGCACGGTGACAGGACTTTTTCAAGGACAAGACAATAAAGTAAAAAGAAACGGCATAAAAACAGGTTCCAGGGGTTCCCCAAGTTTTGTTTCTTCAAGCTAAAGCTTTTGGGGAGACTTCTGGGTAAATTTTAGGAACGTGCTACACTTCCCTTCCAATCCAATTTCAAGCTTCCTTACGGACTGGTATGTACATGTGTGGTTCACTGAAATGAAGAATGCTGGAAATACCACGATCGCAAGAACTCTTCCCAAAACTCCAGATCAGGGGCTGGCCCACTGCCCGCTGTAAATCAGGTTTTCCCAGAACCCGCCGTGCCCCGCACTGATGTGCTGTCAGTGGCTGCTTTGGGGCTACAAGGTCCCAACACAAACCACACGGCCCCCAAAGTCTAATACCTGGCCACTGACAGAAAAAGTGTGCCAATGCCCACTCTCCACCAGGGCCTTTCAACTTGAATGAACAAACTAGTCACCTGGGAATCTTATGAAATGTGGGTTCTGTTTCGGAAAGCTTGGGGCAGGGCCTGAGTTTCTGCATTCCCAGTGTGCTCCCAGGTGATGTCAGAAAGTGGCCTGACGAGGGCAGAAGAGGGGATAACACTGACCAAGTGTGAGATGGACAGTGGCCTTCCGCTCTCCTATTAATGTTACCTCGAATTCCACTTAAGAAATAACTGCCCTGCAGTGTTAGGTCTTAGGTGTGCATACCAGCCCCTTCAGTGTTCTGTTGTTGGAAGCGGGGGGCATTAAGCCCGGCCTCCCCTGCCTTGAGCTCACAAAGGGGAGGCTGGAGAGGCTGACCTCATGACCGGTTCCGTGCGGCTCCCCAAACCTTCAAAGCCCATGTGGAACCACTGTAGCAGGATGGCCACGTCCCACACATGGAGGGGCAGGCGGGTGGAGTGGGGAGTGAGGAAGATGCAGCCCTCTCTCTGCTCTCCAGAAAGCCAACGTCCTCTACTCCACCTGCACTTATCACAGAATCCCGTTCAAGTTTCTATTTAATCACATGCTTCACCAAAGCAAAAGAGCCAGCAGGAACGCCTGGCCTTCCATGGCTTCTCCTCTTTTCTACCCTCATTACAGCCATGTGGAGCGGGTCACAGCTGAGCGCAGCATGGGGCAGGGCGCTCTCCAGAGCTCCGAAAACTGCCCCCTCCTCTGCCAGGCTGTCGTCGGCCAGCACTGCTGCCACCCAGCTGTGTGTTCTGAGTCCCTCCCGGTTATGACGAGCTCAGGCTGGGGGGGCAGTGGTTATGCAGGGGAGACACGGCAGCCATGTATTGACTTCCGCAATCCCTCCCCCAACCCTCCTTTGACTAATCTGCCCCCGGGCTTGAGGAGACGCAGCATCTCCCCATTTGGTAGCTGTGTATAAACACTCGTGCCTGGGCGCACCCCACTGCTGGGGTTACTGACGGAGTCTGGAGACTCTGTAAGCTCATCCCAAAGGGTCACGTTTGCTGGAATAAAAAGGCTCCAGAGACCGCAGGGCAGAGGGTGCTGTATGCCGTGTGCCCAGGTGCGGTGTGTGCGTGGCAGCGATGCAGAGACGTTCCCCGGAGCCTGGAGCAGAGTCTGCTGGGGGATGGGACGGGGACTGTTCCCACTGGTCTCAACAAGCAGAGTGAGGACGGGTCAATGGAGCCCTGAGGCCTCGGGGTGGAGGACTGCAACTTGAAAACACACCTTCTCCTTGCATGGAATGTTCCAGAGCCAACAGGGATTTCAGAGAAGGAGAAGCTGCAAAGCCAGGAAGCCTTGAGGGGTCCCTTTATTTTACTTAACGAAGACGTACATGACCCTGATGTTTCTATGTGTAAGAACGAGGCGGCCTCTGTGGCAGCGAGGCAGAGAGGCTCAGGGCGTGCACGTGTGTGCCCAGAGCCGCCGCTCGACGGCCCATGTTGGCAGGACCGCCAGCCCACAGGAAGGCCCGAGCATGCTCCAATCCATGCTGCACTTTCTGGTCTCACGTCCTTTGGCTGGCCCTCCTCACGCAGAGCTGGCTCAATGGGGCCCAGAGTCGGGAGGAAGAGGAAATTCCAGGTGATTACCAGCGCACTGGAAAGCCAATCCCAGGGACTTGGATTTCCCCTCTGCCTCGTCTTGCTGTCTGGTGGGTGGACTCTACCGGGTACTGTTTGCACCCCAGACCCCCTTTTCACCTTCCTACCCTGCGCTGTGTCCTGGTGGCCAACCTCTTATAAACCGCACACCCCAGGGCCCTGCCCCCAGCACCTGGCTTGTGTGGCCACGAGGGAGGGATGAACAAGAGATGGGAGGCCTGCCTGCTTGCCCACGCCGTCGGCACAGGCTCACGGCGGCTTCCCGCTGTTGCCAGCCCAGCTGTTCGCCACCCTGGTGATGCCCCTAAACCCTGACTGTCCACAGTCCCTGCTTCCAATTCTCTGCAACTGCCCTTCTGGAACATAGCATTTGTTTCCTGCTGGGATCCTGACCAACATATAGAGCACGGGATGGAAAATGGTAGCAACGGGAGCACATAAGTTTGCAAATACAAAGGTAAAAATAAAAATTAAATACAAAGTAAAATTTTAAAAAGAAAAAGCAAAGCGGGGGGAATAAAAAACCCCAACGTGAGCAGAGAGCCGAGAGCCCTTCCCCAGACTAAATCTTACATCAGCCCCTCTTTTCTCAGTCTCATCAACTGGACGCAAAGAAAAGATATGGGCGGCAAGAATAAAGTGACCATCTCTCCAGGGTCTCCCCTCGTACCCATCTGAGCCGTACGACGCAGGAGGGCAGAGCTGCCGCCCCAGACACCTGCCCCCCTCACGGCACCCATGTCTGGGGCTGGGAAGGGGTGAGCCCACACAGCTCAGAATTTGCTAGTGGGTGCTGCAGTGTGCCCACCGGCTAAACAGACCCTGGGGACACACACACAGGCATGGCGATCGCCCGGGACGCAGGTCTCAGGTGTCTGATGCTGCAGTTCCAGAAGGATCAGACCGCCCGGGGCCGGCACACGGCAGGCACACAACAAACATGGGTGTAATCACGGGTACAGCTCATCTAGGGGCTGGAAGGACCCTGGGCAGCCTTATCTTTAGGCTGTTAAATATCAATCATCCATGGAGTTGCTTGCTTGACTCTGGGAAGATGCTTAGTCTTAGTGAGCTCACAGCCCTCTCCAGCAGCTCTTCAAATGTTTGATGCCAAGGATGGCCAGAATATTGTTTTTTCCCCTTGCATCCCAGCCAATGTGTCTCTGGTCTGGTTCATTTTCAACCAAGCAAATATTCAGTGACACACACACAAAAAAACCACGCCCAGCCCTGAACTTGGTCCTGCAGGGCCTGTTATAAGGCAGGGCGTGTGTCCCCAAAGACCCCACCTCCTGGTAAGAAGGAAGGTGAGTGACAAGACAAAACGTTATTCGTTGCCCTATAAATAGTCGGGGGATTCGGGAAGCCTGGAGTCACACGGGGTCCTGGAGATGGGAAACCTGCAAAGGCAGAGAGGAGGGAACACCTCCCAGGAGTCAGAAGGCGCATCACAGACACCTGGAGACCCTCATGAGCCGGAACATTCACAGGACAGCAGAGCAGAGGCAGGAGAACCGTGCAGGGACCGCAGACCTGACACAGGACATTATCTTCCCCACAGAAACCCTGTGCTTTCCAGCTGTGCAGAGAAGGTGAGACAGGGAATTAGGAGAGGATCTCAAAGAGAACAGCGAAAAGAACTTGAGGCTCGTGACGAAGGCCTTTAAGGAAAAGCATAAGGAAAAGTAGGTGGGTGGGTGGGTCTTTAAATGTACAAATAAAAGAGAAGTAAGGGCTTCCCTGGTGGCGCAGTGCTTGAGAGTCCGCCTGCCGGTGCAGAAGACGCGGGTTCGTGCCCCGTTTCGGGAGGATCCCACGTGCCGCGGAGCGGCTGGGCCCGTGGGCCATGGCCGCTGGGCCTGCGCGTCCGGAGCCTGTGCTCCGCAAATGGGAGAGGCCACAACAGTGAGAGGCCCGCATAACGCAAGG